ACCACAAGCTTCTTCAATGAGTCCATGATCATGGCAAAGACAAATCATAACCTCCCCCATGGAAGCATTTCATCAAACATTTGCTTTGCATCTAAAAGTATACCACATTTTCCATACAAGCTTCAAATGCACCTACAAGAGAAGGATCAAGATAGAGAATAACTAAATACTCTACTTCTACTATGGCTTCTAGAACCCATTATACATAAAACTAGTTTGGTTAATAGAGAAAGGAATTCATACCGGATGAGTGCATGATCATCTGAAGATCATATCCTGCACGTAGAGGCATTTCATCGAACTCTTGCTTTTCAAAAACTGAAATATGGAATCAAAACAGAACAAAAATTTAGAATTTATCTGTCAGACAACCATGTAACCATGCCAAGACCCATAAGATGGGATGGGAACGATCATCTACCGAGCCATGGCCTAGAACATGTGTATCTGTTAATCACGCTCTGGCTACAGGGTTCTGGCTCATCAACCAGACATGGGTTGCTGTCTCCTTAGGAATCAAGAATACAGAGGTACGAGCCTATAGAACAGATCCTGTTCAAGTAAGGTCGTGCCTCTCCATCCCTCTCTTCTTCATTTGAAGTCGTAAACGATGTGGGAATGCCTTTATGGGTTTAATTTAGAAACCATTACATATTCTGAGGTTTGCTAAATAAGGGTAGTGGGTGTATAGATTCATAATAAAGTTTCTTGAATTCTGAGGGTTTGTTATTTGAGCCCACAAATTCGCAGGGTTGGTTGAAGACAACGCAAACTACAACTTTTAATGCATGAGTACAAGTCATAACAACGTTGATGATCTTTACCCCAAGAGTGCACTTTTTAAAGTCAATCAAACGCCAGTAAAGTCGTCCATTATGTTTTTTTTTTTTTTTTGTTGAATTTCATCGTTTCCAGAGATTTTTTGATTTTTTTGCTTGATGTTTCTTGTATTAAAAAACTTTGCTTGTGAAATTTAGTTACGTATATTTTTAGACCCCAATTTCTCGTATTTATTCCAACTTTCTTCGATCAGTGCATTCTTTGTTGCCGTTAATGATGTATTTATGAATAACTCAAAATTGATTAACCCAAAAACATTTAACCAAAGCCTCATTCGGTTCCGATTGGTTATCCGACGCTGGATTTATTTAATACCTTTCAGTATGCCTCCTATCACATGACTTCTTGGATCCGTCACTAGATACCTCCTTCATTGAAAAATATCAAAACTTCATTTCATCGTCTCAATCAATTATCGAATGGTCGTAAATTATTTTCAAAGAGCGAGTCTGTTGATGAACTGTGGACGCATACAACTAGGGGTGTTCAAAAAAACCGCCGGACCGCTCAAACCGGCCGAACCAAGTCAAAC